CACGGCACACCAGGCAACATCTCGCGGCACACTAGTGTGCCACGGAACAGTGGTTGAAAAACACTGCACTAGAAGAGTTCTGCCATTAGTTGAGGCAATATGTGATACTGATTTTTACAATATAATCCTATATATATATCCTATTCAAGAGTAACAACTTTTACAGTATAACCTTATACGTAACCTATTCCATGGTAAATGCAATGAGTTCAGTGGGGCTTGCTTCCATTAAGTGGCAGTAGAATTGCTGTGCTAATTTGTCATCTGGTTGCTTTGAGCATTGTAGTTTAACACAAGAAAATCAAGCCTGTATTTTCAAAACCTGTCTATAGTAGCAATTTTATAAATGCAAAATATCATAAACGTGCTGTTATTTAACAGGACAATACTGGAGTTTGGAAAAAGAAAATCAAGGAGGAAAAATGTGATTCCCCAGCAATATGTAGGGAGTCCAATCAATACCATAAACCCAAACTCTGGGTAAATAAAATACTTCGTCGAGAATTTCCATCTCTGCTGGTATCTCATTTTTCTAAAGCTGGACTTTTGAGCAGGCTTTTCTTTGATACATAAGCCCATTTGGGGATAAATGGAGGGATATAGGGAGTTGGGGCAAGAATGAGGCAGAATGCCTTCCTACATATTTTAATAAGTTAACCTTGGCTGTGGACAAACTGAAATACAAAATATATATTTTTTATCAGAGGCGGAAATAATTGCATCTAGTAGCCTCTTAGAGAATATGTGCAAAGTTCTTCATAGCACATCATTTTTAAAAGCCTGTCTCTTGTTCAGCATTCTGTTATACACATTTAAGTCTCACTGTTTTTAGTCGGAATTATAAATGGTCTTGAATGTGGGATTGCCACCTTAAGAATTTCTCTGGCTAAACACAATCTATATAGCCTAATCTACCTTGGATCTCAATTTTTCATCCTGCAATAATCTACCTCTTTGAAATCAACCTCTCATACCATCACCCCTCCCCCCCAATGATTGGTATTTAATTGTGATACAATGGGTTTTCTCAATAAGTGCTGTATTCCTAATTTCACTGTTTTAAGGGTTGATAGAAAAATGTTTACTGAAAATTCCAGTGTTATGAATTTAAATCTGGTATGGGCAACCAATTCACTACTGAGGGCTACATTTGAAATATACCATAATCTGACATGGTACAGAAAATTTGCATATTTTAGTTACATGTAATTCATGCATCATCTTCATTAATAAAGTAGATTCCAAGCTGCAGTAGAGGAAGCATATCGCCTTCAAATGTGCAAAATGTGGCCTTGGTAAATTCAATCCATTGTTCTGCAAGATTAGTTCCATTGGCCACAAAAAGACTTCAGTTTCCTCTCCTTCCTCCCACCCCGCCATGTGTCGCCAAAACTTGCCCCAACCCTCTAAAGCTGATTTTTGAGAGTGTGCAGGAAACTGGCAGCGAGAGGGAAAGGAAGTTCCATTGCACAAACAGACGTTCATTGCTCCAGCAGAGCTGCATCGTAGATGCTGCCCAGTGGCGGAGGAAGAAGCATGTGGGGGGGGAGCGCACCTGCCTCCCCGCCCGTGCTGGGCGCCTCCCCAGGACGTACGCCATGCCCCTGCAGGTGGCACACCCCGCCCCCAACTGCTCTCTGCCCCCCCCCCGGTACAGGAGCATGAAGTTCCACCACTGATGTTGCCCCTTGATGCATGGATTTGATAACCACATGAAATACAATGAATTTGACTTGCTGTAATTGGCTCCCCTTGTTTCCGAACCCTGATTGCTTTTGCCATTCTTTTCACATTTGCCTGCAAGCATGATGGTGAAAATTACATCCGCACACACGTTTTTTAAAAAATTAAACTGGAGTTCTGAGGAATCTGTCAAGAACCCATGGGCCACCTTAAAAATACAAAGTTTATATTGCCCACCCCAGTTTAGATCATTTCAGTGGTACCCCCTCTCTCTCTATCTTTATGTATGTAATGAATATCTAACTTTTAAAATGATCAACGAATCTTTGTAGTTCATCCTTGTTTTCCCTCTTGTAGCTCAACTATGAAGGCTAAAGTGCCACCACCTTTACCGCCAAAGGTAAGAGGGGCTGTCACTACTTGCAGGAAATATGCTTACTGGCCTAGTTCATATGTAACACCTCTGATATCATAAACTTCGGTTCAAGAAAATATATGCCTTCATATTCTCTCCTTGCCCCTGCCCTTTCAACCCCCCTGCCCGTGCCTGGCTTTGGCAACAATTTCTGGTTTCTTAAACCATTTTTCCGTTCTTTCCAAACTAAGAAACTAGCTTGGGCAACTAAGATAGCTTCACTTGAAAGCAGGAGAGAGAGAGATTACTATAATAAATGATGGTTTGTTAACATCTGACCTGACTATATCTGAACCATAATCTTATGTCAGATGACTACAAACCGTGGTCAGTTTTTAAAATAGAAATGGAAGTCAATGGGTGGAATTCAGCTAATACAGATATTTCATCTGTGCTAGTATATTAGCTTGCCAGTTGGAATGATCCCTCCTTACCACATAATTCTGTTCTGGGGGTTCTCCCAACCTCCCCAGAGCCTGGCGCAGGGGAGGCGCAGGGCAAGGGGGAGGGAAGCCCTGCTGTGTAAGTGGAAGCCCTTGTGCAAGGCATCTGCTGACAGGGTTCATTAGGTGAATCCCGCCTGGTCCTTCAGATCTTCTCCTGGCTGCACCAGAAGCCAGAGTGGAGGTGCTTGAGCCCACTTGTGGGTAGCCATCTGGGTTTATTTTGATTTTAATCGGATTTTAATCTGTATTTCAGTTGATTGCTGAATTTATGTTTTAATGTATTATATATTTTGATGTTAGCCACCCTGAGCCTGGTTCTGGCCGGGGAGGGCAGGAAATAAATAAAAATGTATTATTATTATTATTATTATTATTATTATTAGACACATCAATGTATTTTTTATTTCATAAAATTTATATCCTGTTTGACTGTTAAAACACACAAACCTCAATGCAGTTTACAAAAAGAGGAAAACAGTAACGTTATCAGTAAAAACACCTGAACACAGTGATAGTTTCAGTTGCCTTCTCTTTTAGCAGTCTGCTTTGCCAAACTGTTTTCCCCAGTATACATGCTGTTTTTTAGCCTACTGAATGGCAGTCATCATGGGCTGCATCCGGTTCTGCCTTCTCTCTATTTCCAGAAGGCATCTGTCAGGATCATGAGGGGAGCAGTTTTCAGCTTCTACTCCACTCTGCAGCCCCTGAAATCCGCTCCAGAGGTTTCCCCAGCTCTTCATAGCAGATTTACAGAAGCAGCGAGAAAATCACCAAAAATTACTTTCTTCTCCGTCGGTTGACAGATAGCTTATGTCAGTGGAGGGAACATAATACATTATTAAGTCCCTCTTTTAAGTTAATTCTATTTGGCTAATATGCAGGTGATAATATGTGATTTTAGAAAACCATAATCTGATTTGCACCTTGTCCAAAAACAGACTGAAGGCTGTTTTACTGATGTTTTCAATTATGCTTTACAGATTTTTAGTTAGATTTATTGTATTTATATGTTATGAGCCACATTATATTTTATGAAACAGCAGGTTATCAGTTTTCAAACAAATAAAATAGGGATGTTTTCTGTAGACTTTTTAGAAAGCCTTTCATTCCAGCTATGAAATTTCAGCTGAAGAATTCCTTATACGTGGCTCCTGTTGCTTCTTCATTTCTACTGTATTCCCTGAACACATTTTAATGACTTGGTATGAAAGTTTTAATATGAAGGTGATGTGATATGAATTCAAAAACATGGACTAATAAATTTTATAATTTCAGCCTAAATCCATCTACGTACCACAGGAGATGCATTCTTCTGAGGATGATAATCAAGGAACCATCAAAAGATGTCCTGTTTCAGAGAGTCCTGCAAAATCAAACACCCAAGTACCACCCAGACCACCACCACCTCGGTTACCGCCACAGAAATCTCATGCTTTAGGTAATGTTGATGAATTACAGATAATTCACAAATTCTTTAATAACAGCAATTTAATTTTGCCTTCTTCAATACATATCCCAGAATTATTCTTAAATAAGCATGTTTTGCTCTGCTCAAGCAGCAGAAAATGCACACTTAAAAAACACACCCCTGTTTAGATTTTAGTGGTGTTTCCCCCCCCCCACACACTCCTTTAAGCCGCTGAACATGGAAATAAATTATAAAATAAATTCTAAAATCATGTTTATCAAAACTATGTACATGTCTGTGATACGTTGTACTGATGTGTGTCCAAACTACAATCTTTGAGGACTACGGAATTCTGCCACTGAAGACTTTCACAAGGCTTAGGACAAAAAACAGCACTTCCACCAGAACCGAATAAACTTTATTCCCTTCACTTGTATCCCTTCATCCTTTCCAAACTTGTCCCTCAGCCCCAAAGCTCAGCATGAACAGATAGGCCTTGTAGTACTTCTGAACATGTTCCAGCTTGGACTTTAGTAAAATGGAGTCCCAGTTGCTCTTCATGCATTTAGTGCCTGAAGCTGAGGCATAAATGACTTCATTAAGCACATTAAGACCTATGGGCCATTAGGCCTGGTCATTTCCCCCAAACTGTGTCCACTTGCCATCATATGTGACACCAGTCTTCGTTGAATCGGCTGTCTTAGTAAAGTTGAATCAGCTGTCTTAGGGCAGTTCCCAACTGAGAACTTCCCAGTGTAGCCAGTGGGTCTGCTCTCAGTACCGATCAGCTTATAGGCGCTATGATTGACAGATGAGCAACCCCACCTACCTATGAAGGTTGGCCCAAGGGATGGGGGAGGTAAGGGTTTGGCCACCCTGGAATCTTGCTGACTGTAATGGTGGTTTATGCTTTGTAATGGTCTCTGAATTTTTCTTGTGAAGGTAATGGATTGAATTCTGTCCAGACAAATGGCGACAGAGAAGGATCTCCCCATCAAGAGCCAAATGAGAATAGACACACAAATCTCTCTAGAAGAGAAAAGAAGGAAGTTCTGGTAGGTAATGCTCCATTTGCCTGTTTCTGTAAAGCGCATGGGAAAGCCTCAAAATGAGCATGTCGCTTCCTGGTTTACGTGTGCTATATATTTGGCATCTTCATTTGCAGTATTTGGTAGTATGTGCATTGGAGCACCTGGGTATGCTAGAAGCTTTTGAATGGAGGTGTCTGTGTGTAAAATTAAGCAGTGCATTGCCACATAGGCCCAAGCCATGAATCTATGTGTGTCTGAAACCTACTTTTCATCTTCAGTGACTAAGCCCTTTGTGAACAAAACGACAGAAGGGAATTACCTGTTCCTTCTGTGACCCTGACTGCTGTTAGTCTGAAGGAGGTGGCCCAGAAACTAGCGCGTTTTACCACATACACAGGAGCCCAGTATTGGCACCTCACTGCCTGTGCAAAAAAACCCAACGTATCTTAAGATATTCAGAAAGGAATAACAGACAAGGCTAGATCTTATCCAAAAACATGAAGTTTGCAGGGCAAAAGAATGAAGCCAGTCCCAGAAAATGAAGGTCGGGGGAGATAGGGAGTGAGAGAGCTGAGGTGGCAGTGAGCCCAAGGCAGCTGCATGGAAATGCTTCAATGCCTGGGGAGGAAAGGAGGGAACACTGGAAGCTGGAGAGCTGCGAAAAAAATTGAAAGCGAGGAAGTGGGAGTGTATACTGTTACTGTGAAGCACGTCTCCAGATTTGGATCTGGAACAGGGAGATCATTCCTGAGGTTGCACTGAGCTTCGAAAGTCCTGTAGAAGTACACCAATAATCTCCAACCACCTTTCCATATCCAGACTTGGAGCGGAGAGGAGCAGCGGTGCATTGCTTTTGGCACTGGATTGCATAAGCTCCAAGCTTGCTCTCCAGGTTACAGCAGGAAGCAGGGGTGATCTTCCCCATGGTTAGTGCTGTGGAGACAATCTGCAGTCCCTCCACAGATCCAGCCTGCAAAGCAGGGCTGGGATTCCTCTCATCACATTCACCATGGCAAGCGAAACAGGGGCTCGCGAATGCATGTGTACGAACCCTGCTCCTTCAGTGTTCGTGTCACAAATATAGCTCATCTTTCAAAGTCACAATTCAAATGTGCATTTTTGTTTTCCAGAAACCAATTAGTAACGGTCTTCCTCCTACACCAAAAGTGCATGTAAGTATTAAGTTTCGCATAGGATGATTTATTCAAAGTATCTTAAATTCTGTCTCAGGACATTGTTGACTACCATTTGTGTTAAAGATTTAACCCGCATACTCAGTGTTATATATGTTGAACTGCTAGAATGTAGCTGAACTAGTTTTGGAGTGACAGCTTCCCCATATGTGTATGATGCACCTCTCCCTAATAATAATAATAATAATAATAATAATACACTTACTAGGCCTTCTGCCAAGTCCAATTCATGCTCTTCTGTCCAAATATAATTTATAACTTCTTGTATTTATTCATTGTCTTGTAGATCAGGTATCAGTAATTTAGTTGTCTGTAGATGGGGTAGATTGTATGAGGCAATATTTTTTACAAAAATGAGTTGAATTTATATTTCAGCTACAGTTATATTCTTAACTAAAGTACTGTTACTGAATCTTGAAATGCAGTGTTGCACTTTTATCACAGAATTGGACTTCAAGGGAAGAATGATGGAATCCCAATAGATGACTTCAAAATTAAATACCTCTTACTAAGTCTGTTTGAGCCATAGTATATCCTTTTATGCTAAAATTCCTTCTTAGAAGAAAATTGGGCCTCCAGTTTGAAGAGTCCACCTAATTTAGCATATTTTGATTACTAGAAACGTCGGAGAGTAGGCTAGAGAACTCAACACGCTGTCAAATGCAGTTTCGGTTTTCATTCCTTTAGGGACAACTTGCCCTACTTTCTTCTGCATAGCTTATAATACTAGGCTGAATGTTTTGAGAGTGGATTTTGTCCCTGACAAAAGTGTGATCGTTATTAGAACTTTCAGTTTCCTTCTTTATGTCTTCTCAGTTTGTGGAGGTATTAACACAAGCAAATTCTAGTTCTTACACTTAAAATAAAATAAAATTCAGGTCAAATGCTAGCCTCTCCTCAGTATTGTACTAGAAGAAAAATTGAGAGCTCTTCAAGCTTTTTGTCCTTCCATAGCTATGCACAACATGCTCTTCACTGCAAAGTCAAGTGAATGGCTGGATCAGGAGAACTGAGGATCCTCCTGGGTTCTTTGAGTCCAAGTCCCCATTAAAAATAATACCTTAAGTGGGTTTTGTTTTTTCTTTTCGGCTGTTCCTTTTTCTATTCTAGAGGAGCAGTGGGAACTGAAAACTTGTGCTTAATGGTTTTTCCAGAACTCATGTTACATACAAATAAAATATACCGTATTTTTCACTCTATAGGACACACTTTTTCCCCTTCAAAAATGAAGGGGAAATGTGTGTACGTCCTATGGAGCGAAGAAGCCATAGCCCCGCGACCCTCTCCCAGCTGGAGAGGTGACGCATGGCTATGGCAGGAGCCTCTATAGCCGTGCGCCACCTCTCCAGCCGGGAGAGCGCGCGCGGGGCTAAAGAAGCCCTCCATGACCCTCTCCCAGCTGGAGAGGTGACACGCGGCTGTGGCAGGAGCCTCTATAGCCGCGCGTCACCTCTCCAACCGGGAGAGCGCGTGCGGGGCTAAAGAAGCCCTCCGCGACCCTCTCCCAGCTGGAGAGGTGACGCACGACTATGGCAGCAGCCTCTCTGCTGCGCGCCTTTCCGCTTCTCCCCAACCTGCTCTTTGGGGCTGGTGGTGGGCTTCCCTCGCCAGTCCCAAGGAGCAGGTCGAAAGGAACCTGAAGCCTGGAGAGGAGAGGGGTCGGTGTGCACCGACCCCTCTCCAGGCTTCCAAGGTAGCCGCCTGAAGGCGACTGAACGCACCTTAAACGGCAACTTGTTTTAGAGGGGGAAAACAAAAGGGGAAAATTCTCCCCTTCTTTGCGCAACGCCTCCTGCTGCTTCGCTGAAGGGGCGCTGGGCAGAGAGGGGGAGTATTTTTTTCCCTTGTTTTCCCCCCCTCTAAAACAAGGTGCGTCCTATTGTCCGGTGCGTCCTATGGTGCGAAAAATACGGTATATCTAAGATGCTTTCTTTAAAAACAGGATTTTGAATTTGCCTACTTGTAGTATTTGATTTTAACTTGCTCCTTGGAATTGTCCACAGAATAAGTCAATTAAACAGTGTGACAGATTAGAAATCAGAGGGGACACTGAGACTGAGTACCCCATTCATTTTTTAACACAAGTAGTATTCCTGAGTATTTCAGGAACAGGTTAGTTGGCAACTAAGTGGATTTCCCTGTATTTAATTAGTTATGTACTTCAGTCCTTTCTCTTGACAACTTTGCTGAAGAAAAGGGAGCTTCTTCTCAGGTGGTATACCATCCTCCACTTCAACATTTAGAATAGTGCACTTAAGGTTACTACTGAGCCAAAACATTGTCTTGTGCTCATGTATCAAAAAGTGCCTCCCATTTTCAACATCATTTCAAATATATTTGCATTGTTTCAGTGTTGTTCTTGCCACCATCTGCCTTCTCCATCTTACCCTTGCTCTTCCTCGTTTTCCCCATTTTATCTGATCGGCTGTGGCAACAAACATAATTCTGTGCCAATGTTTTAATGCTAAATCTCACGTTATGATGAAATGTGCCCATTAACCACATAATATTGCTTGCTGTAGCTAATCAGATTGAATGGCACTGTGGGCAAATAATGTAAAGGACAGTCAGTGAAGGAAGAGGAAGAAAACGGCACCAAGAAGCAACAGCGGAAAAACTGAACCTCACAGAATTGAAATACCATAGATTTTGATGGCATTTCTTCAGTAATATGAGTACACCGATTGTGCTAATTTTGTGACTGAAGTTAAGCAATATTCAGTGAAGACACACGTGAGATGAATTCTCTGTTGTAAAAATTGTGTCCTTTTATTTTTCACAGATGGGTGCTTGCTTTTCAAAGGTTTTCAATGGATGCCCCTTAAAAATTCATTGTGCAACTTCATGGATAAATCCTGATACAAGAGGTAATATTCAATTTCAGCCAGGATGAGAAAGAAACACTTAAGAACAATTTTGTAAGGATTTGAGAGTTCTGTCCTTCCCTGGGAATTCACAAACTTTGTCTGTCCCATTCAGTATTCTCTGCCCTCATAACACGATAGATGCTTTCCAGGCTATCTCTTTGGAATCCATTTGCAAGATACATTTCAAAGCTTTTACCCTGTCAGAAGCCCAAATTGCTTTTCTAGTTGTTCCAGGGCACGGTACTGGGCAAGTCAACACCGCTCCATTTGGGCAGATTTATTAAGCCAGTATGGCATCCTGGGACAACTACAATTCATATATAATTGCCAGACTTACCCAGATTCTCTTGTACACTTTGCACTTAGGCTTAATATTTCACTTTCCATTTAAGATAGATCCTTTTGAGCTTCTTTATACTGTTCGGGGTTCTACTACCTTGAGTTTGAAGATGTATTTTAATATCGCTTTAATTTTCCATGAACCTGCTGCATCACTATTCAGTCCTGACTCCAGATAATTTAATGAATAAGACTTGGTCCCAGGGGCAGGAAACCAGGATCTATTGGGGGGGGGAGGGATATGCAGGGGTTTCTGACTCTTAATGGTTTCATAGCAAGTAAAGACATTCGCTGCCATGACTAGTCTTGTACTAATCACTTTTGCCTTAGCCTCCGAGTTCCTCATTTGTAAGATATGCTCCGTGTTTGTATCTGTAAGTCATGAGTCTCAAATGGTTGCCTTTGGTCAGAATTCTGTATAGCTCTGCTGACCAGTTGGAGACTGGTTCTTTGTGTTAGAACCAGCATAACCTGCTAAGCCACGGTTTTACACCATGGGATGCTAACACAACCAGAAACCCATGCAGATTTATGAGCCTGAAATTTTCCCACTCTTGGCCTGGTCTACATACCCAGTAGAACAAAATGGCAGAATCTTAAAAGTATGAGAGTGAACTATACCACAAATGAGAAATAACAACTTGTTCTCGTCATGTAAAACCTCATAGCAAGGTGGGAAACAAGATCGTATCTATCTCCTGTCCAGTTTTCAGCTTGCAGCTGGCTTTATATATTACGTAGGAAAGCATTCAGAAATGTGATACTCCCATCTGCTGGTCTGAAAGTAGTGCAGTCAGTTCTACCACATAACCATCTCATTCTTCTTTATAAGTAGACCCAGTGAAAGTTAAATAGCACCAGTTCCAGAACAGGATAAACCTTACACTATTGATAAGAAGTTCATTCATTGTTGAAGTCTCACACTACTTCACAGGGGACAATAGTAACTGTTTCTTCCTTTCAAACAAACCGAAGTTCAGTGTTACATATGAACTTGGGGAATTGTAATTCATTTTCACCCACGTTAATTAAAACAAACCAGAATTAACCCGTAGCTTCAGATCAAGAACAAGACACAGTTCCCCAAATGAATGCATAACAAAGAACTGTGGCTTGCTTTGAAGTGAAAATGAAAAATGTCACACTCTTCTCTCATGTGCTGTCTGCTGTCTACTAGGCCAAGTGTTTTATTTTGTTTTTAATGTGAACCACCCTGAGACCTCTGGGTATAGAGCGGTATATAAATTCAATAAATAATAATTATTATTATTATTAACATGACTGATACTCCTGCTCTGTATTATGTATTGTTATGCACTTTTTTGCTTTCAAAATCTGTTAGTTGCTTTAAGGGGCTTTTGCCTGGTAAAGTGGGGCATTTATAGTAAATACGTTTGTATCTTTGTAGACCAGTACTTGATATTTGGTGCTGAGGAAGGCATTTACACCTTAAACCTTAATGAGCTCCATGAAACATCAATGGAACAGGTTTGTTTTCAGATTTTGCTCTTCCTATGTAGTGGTGTGATATTTTAAAATTTAGTATTTCCCAGCGTAGCCCAACATAATGAGTGGAATTCGGTGTAGCACTAGGGAGATTGTTCCATTAGCACAAGCATTTCCACTTGCTTGTTTTTTTATTTATTCCATTTTTATGCTGCCCTTCATCTGAAGATAATCTAAATGCAAGTATGTGTAAATGTAGAGCCACAAAATGCTGCCAAGGAGTGTGGTGGAGTCTCCTTCTTTGGAGGTCTTTAAGCAGAGGCTTGACAACCATATGTCAGGAGTGCTCTGATGGTGTTTCCTGCTTGGCAGGGGGTTGGACTCGATGGCCCTTGTGGTCTCTTCCAACTCTATGATTCTATGAAAATTAAGGTATTTACAGAGCTCAGCTTGAATAAGGCCTCCGAGAGTTTGCTTTCCCTAAGAATGACAGCTCTCACCAGAGAACTCCTCAGCTCTCATCCTGGCTGTATACCAATGCTCAGCCTCTCCTATGAGAGAGAGTACAGCTAATACCATCATTATTCTTGGAAACAAGGAGTTGTGCTCTCTCTCGTTCCTTCTTGAAGCAATTTTAAAAAAGCAGCAAGTCCCTTTGGTTTTGCCACTTCAGCAGCAGCCCTGGAAATAATGTCCACTCTGCCTCACAGAAGCTCAAGAAAATATACTGCTCTCACCATATGTAGCGCAATTTTTATAGCAGTTTCTTACCCATCATAATGATGTCTCTTTCAAAATTACTTTATTCTTTTATTATTACTTTACATTATGTTCCCTACACCAGCTGTTTCCCCGACGGTGTACGTGGCTGTACGTTATGAACAATTGTTTGCTATCGATATCTGGTAAGACCTCTTTTTGAATAATTTGGGACGTAAACGCCTGAGCTCTGTTCTGTTGTTCTGTTCGACTTTTTTGTACTACATTGGTTGTTTTATTTGCAGGTAAAGCTTCTCAGCTTTATTCCCATAATTTGCCGGGTCTGTTTGATTACGCAAGGCAAATGCAAAAGTTACCTGTGGCTATCCCGGCGCACAAACTTCCTGACAGAATACTCCCCAGGTAAATAAGTTTGTGCTACATTTGTTTCTTTTTTGAGTGGGTTTCCAAATGTGTAATGTTCAGGTTGGGGGTGGGGGGTCCTGCTGCAGCATCTCAGCAGCAGTGGTCTGCCCCACACCCTCCCACACTGATGGATTTGGAGCAGAAACAGCAATAGCACTGCCCTCACAGTGATAGCATAGGGTGAGGTGGCAGCACGGTCAGGGGAGCTTTGGGTTGGCTGTAGTGTCCTGCAATTGGACATGCATCTGCAGGGCCACCAGCAACAACCTGGAGGTCCCTGAGGCCTTGCTACTGCCTTGCACTGCCCTGCCCCAATGAGCGTAGCTCCTGCAGCACCAAGAGGGAGCTACCACTGCTCTGCCCCCTTACATATACAGTCATACCTCGGGTTGAAGTAGCTTCAGGTTGAGCGTTTTTGGGTTGCACTCCGTGGTGACCCAGGAAGTAACAGAACACATTACCTTCGGGTTTTGCCGCATGCGCAGACACTCAAAATAACGTCACGCGCGGAAGCGGCGAATCGTGACCCGCGCAAACGTGGGTTGCATTCGCTTCAGGATGTGAACGGGACTCCGGAACAGATCCCGTTCGCATCCAGACGTACCACTGTAGTGCTGCTGCTGAGCAGAAGAGAAAGTACGATGGGTGCTCAGCGGCACAGCTAGCCGCTCGGGTGCCTGGTGTAGGGGTGTGTCCTGCAGCCAGGGGCAGGGTGATCTGCCTGTGGGGGTGGGGCAAGCCTCTCCGACGCTTGGAGCCTCTACGCTGCCTCCCCCTCAGCTGTAGGGCAACTGAGGGAGAGGCAGTAGGCAGACGCAAGTCCCACGCTGCTGTTTCAGGCAGCGCAAAACCTGCAGGCACCTAAGCCACCACATCATTCCTAAAAACTTTTGTGAGCCCAGTGTTTTTTTAAAGAAATAATAATTATGACACCCAGGGCGGACTGCACCCCCCCCCCCGTCCTCCGCCACTGTTGGTCCTTACCTGAAGCATAGATTTGCGAGGGTGTCATGCAGGCACTGGGTTGTGACAAGGTGTGTTCATGGAACTTCTGGGCCTTTTCATGGAACTGGATCATCATGATGAGAAGGACAATTAGGAGGTTAACTTGTATTTTTAAATATATATATATTCCAGGAAGTTTGCAGTGTCAACCAAAATTCCAGACACAAAGATGTGTCAGAAGTGTTGTGTGGGTAAGTAGAGATACTATCTAATATCAATGCATACGTACAAATTAGACATTTAGTGTAACTTGTACATGGATTACTTTGGCAATAAAATGGTTTGCTTGGAATTTAACATCAGATACCTATTGGACCTCTCGAAACGCCTCTGTAGTAACTGGGTGTTTCATCATTCTGTGAAATGTCAACAACAGTGGGGAATCGGCTTAGGGAGAGAAACATAGGAAGGTAGAAAACAAAGGGGAACGCAGCCGTATTTCCCAAGTGTTAATGTGTGCAGGTGGCAACCGCAGGTCACAAAGGGGAGGGTGGAAAGAAGAGCAAAATGTGGGGAAATTAGGCTCTTTACTACAGTTCAACAGAGGTTGTTCTTGTGACAGGTCGTGACTATTGTATAATTCTTGCGTTTAGTGAAAACCCTGGAAAAATACAGTATTTAAGTAAATTGCAGTATGTCTTCTCTATTTGCTAGCAGGACCATCCCATGTGAGCACTTTCAGCTTTCAAGAGCTTACTCTGGACTTGAGTCAGTGGTTCTCATAGTCTAAAGCTTGTAATCCCTCGCATGAAGACAGAAAATGAGTCTCTGGCAGTCAAGCCCTACCAGATGCCTCATCTTAGCCAGGAGCTTTTTCAGTAGTAGGATTATATGTGCCAGAAATGGGGAAATATTTGTGATAGTTCCATGGCTATCTGTATCTCACTGCTGCCAGGCTTACTAAGGCTTGAGATTGTCCCCAGCTGGTGTACCAGGAAAGGAATCCATCAGAGCAGCATTGGTCTTTTGCAGATCACATCTCACACAGGACTCATCTACACTTTGCTTTACTGTGAAGGGTTTTTAAAAAATCATTTTTCTTTCTTAGTGAGGAATCCTTACTCAGGACACAAATACCTTTGTGGGGCCCTGCAGTCTAGTATCATTCTTTTAGAGTGGGTTGAGCCAATGCAGAAATTCATGTTGATCAAGGTAGGTTGCATTTGAAAAGTTATCCTGCTGTAAATATTACTCTCACAGCCGAAAATATTTTGTTGTATTCTGTTAGCTTCCAGCCTGAAGAGTGAAAAGGATTCCTTGTTGTTGCTGTTGATTTGTCCACTTCTGTTCCAACTCTCTCAAAAACAACACAAAAACCAGGGGAGCCAATTAAGACCATAAACGCCACCTTAAAAACAAAACACAACGATGAGATAAAATTAAAGCAGCTGTCTTTCTAAAAAGCAACCAGGAGATTCTTTGGAGCATCTTTTTGGGTAACTCATGCCAGACCCCAGGGCTGCAGCAGAAAAGACCCTGCAACTAACCACCGTTGAGATAATTTGAAGGTCTGGCACACTGATTTAAAGAGGTGGAGGGGCTCTTGCAGATTACATTTGGGAGGGGGAACTTAATGCATTTCCTGGTATAAGATCAAGTGGCTTGTAGATATTGTAATGTTTAAAGGCTTCTCAGTATCCTTTGACTAAGATCAAAAAAGGCTTTGCTCTTAGACAAAGGATATTGGCACAGTGCTTCAGATAACTACAAGAAACACTTTTAGTAAGAATGTCAAAATCTACATGAACCTTGTTTTAGTGATGGCTGTTTCACCTTTCTTAAAAGAGGCTTGAAGTCACCATACAATTGATAAGCACATTATTTTATCCTGTTATGATGTTGAAATAATAGTGCTAAGTGTGACATTCCATCAGCACAATAGTTTTTCCCTGTGCAACAGAACATCTCCCTTCATATCTCCCCCAATCTGTTATGGGGTTTCCCCAGTCCTCGGGAGCATATTGGGGGGTGGGGAGAAGGGAGGGCATCCACTTGTTTGTTACACTTGTGCGTAGTTGAAGACCACCCAGTACTTTAATGGTATTATACAAATACCTCCATATCTATTTTGTGGCTAACCAGTTTACTTCTTAATGTAGCACATAGACTTTCCTGTACCTTGTCCACTGAGATTGTTTGAGATGCTGGTGGTACCTGAGCAGGAATTCCCTCTGGTTTGTGTCGGTGTGAGTAAAGGGAAAGACTTCAACCAGGTGGTGAAGTTTGAAACAGTCAACCCAAATTCTACCTCTTCATGGTTTACAGAAACAGGTTTGTGCATCTTTCGATCACCTTTTCAAATAGTTAGCTGTCTAACAGAACCATTGCCGTTAGCAGAACCATTACCAATTGCTACAGAGATTTTCTGTGAGGCCATGATGCAAAAGGTTAGCCATCGCTGCTATAGGGGGGTGATTCTGACTGAGTCACTGGGGGAGAAATTATTTAACTATTTTGTTTTAAACAGATTATATATAGTTCTAATTCCATCAGTGGTTGCTTTTTAATTATTGTTTTTTCTTCTTTTATCTGTAAGCCATCTTGAGTTTCGTCAGGCAGGGAATGAATGAATGAATGAATGAATAAATAAATAAATTTCATTTATTCATTCATTCATTTCCCCAAATGAGTCCCTGCCCCAGCACCACCTTTTGTTGTCTAGGGAAGATTTATGAGGAGCCTTAAAGGCTCATTCACATAGTACCAAACCAACCAGGATCATGGATTCCAAAAAGAAAAGAAAAACGCCCTGTACGGTGGCTTTCTTATACAAACAGATCAGTTGAACTGGAGAGTGTTTGCCTTGAATTAATATTTACACATGAATGTCAACTAATCTTGTTTTGGTATTTTGGCAGATACTACACAGACAAACGTTGCGCATGTAACACAATTGGAGAGAGATACCATTTTAGTCTGTTTGGATTGTAAGTTACGTCTTTGACCTAGACATACATATTCTAGTAACATTCATGGTGTAAGGAAAGCTGCTGACTTATGGTGTCTGTTTTTCAGGCTGTATAAAAATTGTAAATTTGCAAGGCAGATTAAAATCTAGTCGGAAACTGTCCTCGGAACTCACGTTCGATTTCCAGATCGAAACAATAGGTATGTAAAGTTTAGTCTTAAAACTTTATTAGCTAGTTAACTCCTTGAGTATTTCACAACGTGATGAAAACCTCATCATCATCATTATTAGGTTTGGAGGAGGCACAGTATCACAGACTATTCATTTTATGTATTTCTGAACAGTTGGGACAAATAATAAATTATCGTTTAAAAAGGTTTTTTAAACTATTATTTTAAAACAATGGAAGATCAAGTGCAGCACTGTTTGCAAAAGTATCTATTGGATAAAATACCAACGTTTTTCAGAATTCTAACATTTAAATATCTCTAGAAACAAGTAAATGTTTTACAGTAGTATCATGTACAGTAAATGATATCTGGAGTTTGCATTGATTTCCATTGTTAATTGCTGTGGGTTCTGAAACCATCCTTAGGCAATTTCCCTTACTAACTTTTGGAGTTAGGAATATATTTTTTTAAAAAAACAAACATTAGCTGAATGTCTTAATTTCTGTGTTAACACTAAATAGCTATTGGGGTGTTAAATGTGAGGTTGTTACTGTGTTATGGTCCCTTAGATTCCCCCAGTCCCCTGGTTGTTGTGGGTCTCTCCCCCCAAACCCATTTCATTTTAAGAGGAATCTATTTTGTCACTTTGTGAGAGGACACCCAAGTCCTATTGAGATCAGTGAAATGTAAGCATGCAGGCACCTTCTTAAACACAGTGGCCCAGTTCAGATCATGATCTAACCTTTCTAAGCCATGATTTAGATGAGAGGTGGAAGCTGGATCCAGCTGGTGGGCCAGATCCTTGGTTCCATCATTCCTAGTGTGCTGCTTTGACAGGTAGGTAGACCTCAGCAGTCCTACCAACTTCCCCCTGGTGATGTCCTAGGGATGTTGAGGGTGACTAATAGGTGGAACCTGTGCCAATCCTAATTAACTCCATGGGCTGAGGTTCCTTGTTGTTGGCTTGGGTGACCACAACTAAATAATAATAATAATAATAATAATAATAATAATAATAATAATAATAATTTATACCCCACCCATCTGGTTGGGTTTCCCAGCTCCCAACAGATTAAAACAGAATAAAACATCAAACATTAGAAACTTCCCTAAACAGGGCTGCCTTCAGATGTCTTCTAAAAGTCAGATACAGTGGTGCCTCGCAAGACGAAATTAATTCGTTCCGCAAGTCTCTTCGTCTTGCGAGTTTTTCGTCTTGCGATGCACGGTTTCCCATAGGAATGCATTGAAAATCAATTAATGCGTTCCTATGGAAACCGCCTTCAGACCAGGTCCGGGGACAGTCTGTCCCCCGACCTCTTCTGAAGGCTGGGGGGGGGGGACAAGGGCTTTTCTTCCCACCCCCAGCATTTTAAAAAACCCCGGGACAGCGGAGGACTTCTCCACTGTCCGGGGCGATCTTAAAATGCTGGCGGGCGGCATTTTAAAATCGCCCCGGGACAGCGGAGGACTTCTCCGCTGTCCGGGTCGATTTAAAAGCCCCTGGGAAGGCAGGCAGGGGGGACAAAGACTTTTGCCCCCCGCCAGCCTTCAGAAGAGGTCCAGGACCTCTTCTGAAGGCCGGCGGGGGGCAAAAGTATTTGTTCCCCCCTGCCTGCCTTCCCGGGAGAGCGGAGAAACGCAGCGTGTTTCTCCGCTGTCCCGGAAGGCTTTTGAAGGCAGGCGGGGGGGAGCAAAGACTTTTGCCCCCCGCCTGCCTTCAGAAGAGGTCCTGGACCTCTTCTGAAGGCTGGCGGGGGGCAAAAGTCTTTGCTCCCCCCCGCCTGCCTTCAAAAGCCTTCCGGGACAGCGGAGAAACGAAGCCGGGCGGCGGGAGGAGGTGTCCCCGCCCCGCCGCCAGGCTTCGGAGGAGGTCCGAGGACAGTGGGGAAGACGCGCTGCGCTTCCCCGCTGTCCCGGAGATTTCCCTATGGGCTTTCGTCTTGCGAAGCAAGCCCATAGGGAAATTCGTTTTGCGAAGCGCCTCCAAAACGGAAAACCCTTTCGTCTAGCGGGTTTTCCGTCTTGCGAGGCGTTCGTCTTGCGGGGCACCACTGTAGTTGTTTCTTTCCTTGACATCTGATGGGTGGGCATCTCACAGGGTGGGCGCCACCACTGAGAAGGCCCTCTGTCTGGTTCCCTGCAACCTCACATTGCAGTGAGGGAACCGCCCGAAGGCCCTTGGAGCTGGACCTCAGTTCCTGAGCCATGGAGAGATTCAGGCCCACATGCAAAAGGAGAGTGAAACCTTTTTGCTTTCAGCTAAAAACAACATTGTCCTGATACATATGAACTTGGGGAGTTTTCTGAACCAGGCCTTCAATTTTAGTTGGGCTTAGGCATGTTGAACTCTTTTTGGACCCCACCTATTCAAGATATGCATAGATTCAATGCAGTTTAGGTGTAAATAAGCATGTGCACTTGGCTGCAGTCTGTAAAAAAAGCTAATTCAAATGGTCTTTTTCTTCCAGTTTGCCTACAAGATAGTGTTCTGGCTTTCTGGAAACATGGAATGCAAGGCAGGAGCTTTCGATCAAACGAGGTAAATATTGCAGGGTGGAATTTAAAAAAAAAAGTTCTGCTCCTTTAAATTGCCTTGAAAAATAAAGGCAAGATTGCTGTTTGTTTCCATAATTAATATTTCATTTTTTCACATAATTTCATAAAATACAATGGTTTGTCGGTAAGTACTTGGGTTGCCCTGAAAGAAATGGCTAATGTATGGCACATTAATCAGACAAATAGCTGGAAATTCCTGGTACCTTGCTCAGCTTATCTGTAAACTCTCTCATATCCCCTCTGCCATCTGAATAGGGGTGATAATAGAAAGGTATAATAGAGGGCATATTGTAAGAATTGCTTCAAGCTGTGTAATACTTGGAGCATGTAGATTTCTACATAGCACTTTTCCTTTAGCCGACTGATTTTTAAATTCGTCAGTGTCTTCAAACTCTAGCTTCTAGTTAGAGTAAATTTATGTAAAGCTGCCAAAAGGAAGGATTGCAAATATATTCAAAACTCAATAAAATAAGACAGTGAAATCATCCTGAACAGCAGGGCAAAGGTGTATATCAGTCTTCTCCCCTTGTTCTCGAATGTGCCAGAAAATGCCATTCTGCTGCCAGATCTCCTAACTGTTGGATCAGCTGTTGGTCCCACACAGGCCAGGAATTCCCTGGTTGGTGGCCTGCTTCTATGTCTCTCACAGCCCCAGCCCTGGTGGCAGATGCAGGAGGGGCTGGAGGCAGGGCAGGGAGCAAAGATGTTAAC